CACGGGTTTATTTTTGTAACCCGTGAGGGGTTTGCAACTCTCCAATTTCTCCCTGGGAAGGCTGGGTCTGGCCTTAAAGGCGTTGTCACGACGATTAATCCGGGGCGGGGGGGCTGTTTCTCGAGATTTGAGCATCACTGTGGGTTTACAGAGCTCCAGTGACCCCCCCGTTGAACCGGTACTTGCAGAACGCTCCGATAAAAGACCCCAAATTGCCAGGAGGAAGTTTTTTGAGGCTTGTCATAGCTGTGGAATCCTTAAGATTTGCACCAAAGTAAGACCGGGCTCCAGAACCCGGTGGGAGGTTTAAAGCCGGTCTTACCTGGGTTAAATCTGTCTTAGTGTCGGCTCCAAAGCGACTGAGAGCGAGACCTCGATCCATCGATGTGTTACCTCGCTGCAGTGTTTTGACGCCCCTGAAAAACGCCCGTGCAGCGTGAGCTGTCGCTTGTGTTACGCCTGCACGTTTTAACCTCCGCTGCGCCAGTTAAACTTTTATAACTGGGCAGGCCCCGCGCTTAAGTTACCCCACAGCAAAAAAAAAAGCCCGAATGGGATGAAACAGGGGCTTGTTCACAGGCCGGCGCGCACGGTTCTCCAAGCCCTGACACCGCTTCAGTTCCTCCTCTTCTTCCCTGGGCATCTGCAAAGCGTCATCGTAAAAAGGCGAAGCAACTTGTTGAACTCCAGCAGCAATTTCCTTTTTTTTTCCCTGATCTGGGACTAAAGCTGGCCTTAACACAGAGGATTAGCCCACGACTCTGCCCCCTGGGGCAGGTTGATTCCTCCTCTGCCTTCTTTTTCCATTTTTTTTCCCCAATATTTGTATAAAAAAAATTTCCCTATTCGATGGAATTTTTTTACAGCGGATTATCTCACTCGCGTGAAAGCCGAGCAGTCCTGGAACACCCTCCTGCCCGGCGAGCGGAGGAACGTGCGGTTAATTAGGGCCCCTGAGCCGTGTTTTGGTTTTGGTGGTGATTAAAGCGAAGCGTTGAGTCAGGTGCTTTGGGTTTCCTCCCCAGCCAGAGAGGCCGGTGCTCGTGCTGCCTTCTCAGCTCCCTCCGAGACGAGGAGGAGGGTCAAGCCCGTGAGAGGACGGGGAGAACCGTGCGGGACGCGCCAGGGTAAGGAAAAATCGGCGTCAGCACCTCGGTGCCGCGAGGAACGAGGCTCTGAGCTGGGCTTGCCCGTCCCAGCGGGGACCGTGGCCAACCCTGACT